TTCGAGGATGACCACCCCTGCCTGCTGGCAGTTTTGCAGGAAGTGGTGCCCAGGCATGTTTGACGAGGGGTATTTCGATGCCCCTGCATGTGTTTCGATCTGGGAAAGTTGCAGTGGGTTGGTGTCGATGAGGTGGTTCCATGGGTACCATGCAGTACCGTACCTTCGACGTACAGGTACCGTCTAGCTTCCAGGCAGCCCTGCCCCCTCCTCTCCCCAGCAGAAACACCTCTACCACTCCCTCCCATCCCTCCCAGCATTCCAAATTGACCTCCAGACCGACAGTCTCGACATCAGCAAACACAAACACACCTCCACACCCAATCAGAACGCACTCCCTCGTCAATCCACCGACGCCCGACGACGCACCACACCTCTACACAACACACCTCTACACAACACCTCTGAAATCACAGCCATCCAACTCTGACAATACACCACAGGGCCCCAGAACATCCACTGGCACCACAGGGGCCCAGAACACACAAAGCGCCATCTCGCCGACCGCCGCCCGACATCCGACACACCGCCGCCACACACGCCCACACCGACGCCGATAGGTGCCAGACACAAAGTGGAGGTGGAACTCAATGTGGGGGGCCAGGAAACGTGCTCCCAAGGCCTGGACACCTCAACTACTACAAATGCGCTAATGCGAGCCACTCACGCGCTCTCGCGTGGGAACGCTACTGCCAGATATCCACCGTCCCACCCGCGCACACCGTCAACCGAAGCTAGTTACAGGTGCAGTTGATGAAATCAATGCTACAGGGCTAGAACCACAACTTTCAATGCTTGCTGTCCACAAGGGGCATGCAAGGGGCCAGTCCAGCATGTCAGCCGTCGCGCTCGAGCGCACGCGTGCGGTACGCACTCCCCGCCAAGCCGCCGCACTACCGAACAGCGGGTGCCCAGCCAGCTCCCTACATGCACATGGTGGGAGAGGGCCAGGATGGGGCTGGGACCACACACAGGGGGGCTCAGCATGGCCCAGCAGGGCAGGCGGCACGTGCGCACCGCCCAGGCGGTGCAGGCGTACCGCACATGTACCGCGCACGGAGCAGGCGCACCACACCCACCTCTTCCATCATCTCAATCTTGACAGCTCCCTCATCTTAGTGACCCTGGCACTTGGGCTGCATGCCTCCACCTCTGGGCCCTGCAAAACACAGCTGCGCCGCGCAGCGCCACGTCAGCGCCGCCGCCGCCGACGCCGTGCGCCCGAGGCACGACAGCGCCAGCCGGTGCCCAACTGTCTTTGCACTCTTCCCTCTTGTCTTTGCCATGCTGCCAGCTATCACACAGCAGCATCTGCAGAATCAGCAGCTGCTGATTCTGCAGCGATTTTGGGTTTAGGGTTTAGGGTTTAGGGTTTAGGGTTTTTAGGGTTTAGGGTTTAGGGTTTAGGGTTTAGGGTTTAGGGTTTAGGGTTTAGGGTTTAGGGTTTAGGGTTTAGGGTTTAGGGTTTAGGGTTTAGGGTTTAGGGTTTAGGGTTTAGGGTTTAGGGTTTAGGGTTTTTAGGGTTTAGGGTTTAGGGTTTAGGGTTTAGGGTTTAGGGTTTAGGGTTTAGGGTTTAGGGTTTAGGGTTTAGGGTTTAGGGTTTAGGGTTTAGGGTTTAGGGTTTAGGGTTTAGGGTTTAGGGTTTAGGGTGG